TCGGGGAAAGCTCAGAACACCTCTCAGAAGGCCCGAGGCCTTCCGAGCCTTCTGAGAAGGCCCGCCCCTTCTCGTTTCCCCCCTGGGCGCGCCGCCGAACGTCTGCGTGAAGCCAACCCACAATCAGCGGGATATGAAGAAAGGAGCAAGCCGATGTCCAAAACCCACCGTGGGAAACCTGAGGTTCACACAGCGAACTCCAGAGCATCATGTCGCCCTCCTCATGAGCCCAGAACACATGCCTACATCGAGCTTGGCATGCCCGCATCCGGATACTTGTCCTGCCACGACTTGCGGAGCACCAGCAGGGGCTAGCGACATTATCTTTACTAGAAACATCGCGCGGCTGGCGCGCTTTCTGGCTGCCCTCGGCGCCAGGGGATCATGTGGAGGAGGGACCACGCCATGATGCAGGGTGCCGATGGCGTCGTTGGGTCAGACTGGAACATGTTTTAGATGCCCCTTGGCGACTCTGGACGCCGTGGAATGACTTCCGCCGAAAAGTTTTGGATCTCAGGATCCGCCAAATATGCACATCCCAGGGAGCGAACTACTTCTCACGGTTTAAAGCAATATTGGCGCACCCTTATAACATCGTGAAGTGGAAGAGGCTATAGAAGGCATGCGCAGTACGAAGAGGGCGTGCACTATGGAGGAATATGCAGGCATCGGAATGGATATAATGAGGAGAGAGGCGGAGGAAGAAAGACAATAGTGGGGCGTTCGCGCCATATCTGATATCATATCGCTCCCTCCCATCCCTCACCATTGAGTCGAACTCACTTTCTTCGCAAAGTCGAACGTCGGCGAAAGTGGGTCCCGAAAGGGCCACTGTGTTTTGAGACATGGTGCACTGCAACGGGAACACTACGTCTGCTTATGACATTGGTACGGCCAGCGCGGCGGCGAGAACGTCGTTCCGTGGGACCGAGGATCCATGGACGATCCATGGACGTCTCTACCTATGGCAAACGCTGCAGTGAGACATATAGCTTGTGGATTAAAGAATACGATTGGTTCCTAGCGATTTCCGACCTCCCCTTGTGATTGGCAATTCAAGGACCCATAACACTTTGGGAGCGACCCTAAGTTACGAGGCCCACAACATTAGGGATATGGGGGCTGTTTTTCCTGTAGGTATATCAACCCAAACCACCCATACTGATTATCCCTCATGCCAGAACAATGCCCTAAGGTAGGCTAAGCCTTCAATCTGTGATTAAGGTTAGGGGTTGTTTATTCTTGATGACCTTGCCATGACAAGTGCTTGGGCCACAGCAAGGACACGGAGAAGGCAGGATGCGCTTATCAGGGCCAAGGCCTGAAAGGAGAGCGTTAAGGAGGGCGGCACGCACAACTGTCCAGCCAAAATGAGCCCTCAAGACAGATTCTTAAATCAGCGTTCTCGGGCCCAAACTGCTTGAGCAACACCTGCTGCGGACCGTATTGGGGTTCCTCTTGGGCTGTCTTGAGGCCTTCTAGGGCTGGGGCCCCTGGAGGACGTCATAGGGGTCTCTTGGGGCCGTCTTAGGGATCTCTTGGGGTCTCTTGGGGCCGTCTTGGAGCCCTCTTGGCGCCCCCCTGGGCCGCTTTGTGCCCTTTGTGCCCTTGAGCCGCCTGGGGAGGATCTTGAGCTGCCGCGGAGGCCATCATGTGGTCTGGGCCCCTGTCTCTCATCCTGAAGTCGGGGCAGCGCCCCAGGGGCGCCTGGCCTGGGCGCTGGGTTCTACGTCTTCGCACTTCCCTCGCCCGCTGGTTACTGCAGGATTGCGGCCGATCAGCTCAGACTGCACGTTCAAGAACGCGTTTGCGCCTGTGTGCGTGATGTGAATTCTCGCACCGGCAGCCCGCATGCTTCGCCCGTGTGCGCGATGCCGCCAAGTGGCCCTGCCTGTACATAGCCAATGATGGCAGCGTCGATTCCGCCTACCGGCGAGGGGCCCTACAGCAACTGCTTACGCATTTCGCCCGCATGCCAGATCTTCAATCCCTCAATATCACTCATCAGTAGCAATGCGTGCTGCCATTGAGAGCCGTCTTCGCACGCGCTTATCCCGGCTTTGCAGCTGAGTGCGTCTAGTTCATGCCTTGCTTCTCCCATGCAGCTGAGGAGTGATAACACCTGCTGCCACTGCCCACTCTTGTCGCATGCCCTGATGACAGCGTTATAGCTGGTGGCGTCTCGGTCTAACTTTATGCCTTCCATGTCGCAGAGTAGCGACAGTGCTCGCTGCCAGCGCATGCCTTTCTCACAAGCGCTGATCCCAGCATTATAGCTAGTAGTATCAAGCTCTATCTGGGATAACCGAGCTCCCCTCAGCAAAAGCAGCGCCTGCTGCCAGCGCCCGCCCTTTTCGCACGCGCTGACTCCAGCGTTGTAACTGATGACGTCAGGCTCAAAATGCGACTCTCGGATCTCGCCGAACAAGAGCAATGCCACCTGCCACTGCCCACACTTCTCGCACGCGCTAATCGCGGCATTATAGCTGACTAGTGCGAACCCACGGATTAACGCCACGGTCTGCTGAACCTGGGACTCGCAAGTCGTAGGCTTAATCTCCAGAACAGGGCGTCGAAGCCGAACAGCTCGTCGAGCTCGTGGAGAGGACGGGGGGGAGGACAGGAGTGCAGGCAGAGGACCTCGGATCGCATGAGCGTGCCGCGGCAGCGACTCCGCGGACGAGAGGACGCGGCGGGTCCCTGTCGTGACGAGCTGCGCTGCTGCCTGCGACACCGCGTGGAACGCTCAACCCCGCAACGATCGGCAACTTGCACATCGCGAGATCGCTCACGTCGGCCGCTCCCACTGTGACCAGGCACCGGCACTCTGGCATGGCGTCCTTGCTGGGGCGCACGCTCCCCGGGTGGCCCTGCATCACCTCCCCGGCGTGTCTCTCGGGCCGCGTCGGGGGCATCATGGGTCCTTCCGCGAGGCTGCCGGGGGCCTCTCAGGAGCCTCTTGCCGTATTCTGGGCGGCTCTGGGGCCGTTGCCGGGCTGTCCCCTCGGCGCCCCATTGTGGAGGACAGCGCGGGACGCTCATTTTGGAATCGCCTTGGAGCCTTTCTGGGGCGTCCTTGAGGCTCTCAAGGGCTCTGCGGGAACTCTCTTGCATCCGTCTTCGAGGGCACATGGGGCTCTTTAGGGCCGCCTTCGGGTGCTATTGGGCCAGCTTGGAACCTTTTGGGCCGTCAGGGCCTCTCTTGGGAGCATGATGGGCAGTGGTGGGGCGATCTAGGTGGCGCTGGGAGCCGTCTGGAGCCGTTCTTGGGGCGAAATGTGGAGAACCTGAAAATCCATTGAACAAATACGGGAAGTCTACAATTCTGGCATCGTGGGGCCTTCATCGGGGTCCTCAAAGGCCGTCTTGGGAGGCCTCCTGGCTTGTTTCGGGGCCGTCTTGGGCCATTTCGAGGCTCGCTTCAGGCGCTCTCCTGAGCGTCTCTGAGCCGTCGTTGGACGCCCTCTAGCGTTAGGTCGGGCGTGTCCCCCTACAGGCGGCTGCTTGGCGAAAAGTTCAGGATAGTCCAACGAACACCCCCAATTCTAACATTCCTCGACTATTTCGAACATTCCCATTCCCCGACTATTTCTGGACTTCCTCGACTATGCCCGAACACTCCTCGACTATTTTCGAACACTCCTCGACTATTCCTCTTCTGACCAACCCAGACTATTGCTGGACTATGTTCGAACATCCCTCCTGTGGAGGGGCAGGCCTGCCTCCGTCCAGGGCCGCCCCTGGCCGCCCCGGGGCGCCCCGGGGAGCGCCCCGGGGAGCGCCTTGGAGCCGCCGAGGCGCCCGCTGACACTGCCAGCGCTCGCTCGCACGCACCGGGCCGAGCGGCGCAGTGCAGCCTGGGCTTCCCAAGAGGCGGCCTCTTCCTGCTCCTCCTCCTCCTCCTCCTCCTCGTCCTCCTCCTCCTCCTCCTCCTCCTCCTCCTCCTCCTGCTCCTGCTCCTGCTCCTCCTCCTGCTCCTGCTCCTCCTCCTCCTCCTCCTCTGGCTCCTCCTCCTCCTGGGTTTCTGAATAAGCGTGGGGGGGGGCACCCCCCCGACGGGGGTCCACATCGCCTCGTCGTCGCGCCGCGACGGGGGGGTCGGAGCGCCTCTGGCGCGCGGTGGCTGCCCGCGACGGGGGTCGATGTGGAGCTGTCGGCGGGGGTGACGCCCCCCCCCCGACGCTTATCAAGAAACTCGGAGTAGTGTAGATGATGTTTGGGTGCACTTGCCATTCCGCCAGTCGGCTCATCAACGACAGCGCCTGCTGCCACTGCCTGCCCTTCTCACATGCACTGATCCCCACATTGAAGCTGATGACGTCCGGCTCCATCATCGCGTCCTTCATGTGTCCGAGCATCGACACGGCTTTTTGCCATTGTCCGCCCTTCTCGCAAGCGCTGGCAACAGCATTGTAGCTGATGAGGCTTGGCTCTATCTCTGCTTCGCCGCTTTTGACAAATAGCGACAAGGCATGCTGCCAGCGCCCGCACTTCTCGCATGCACTGATCGCGGCGCCGTAGCTTACCACATTCGGCTTGAGGCTTGTTTCCACTAGCTCGGTGAACAGCCACAGACCCATCTGCCATTGCTCACACCTCTCGCAGGCACTGATGGCAGCGCTGTAGCTGATGACGTCTCGCTCCAATTCCACCTCTGGCAGTTCCCTGAGCAACAGCAGAGCGTGCCGCCACTGACCACCCTGCCCGCACGCGCTGATACCAGCGTTGAAGCTAATAACGTTCGGTTCCAAGCTAGCCTCCAACGTCTGACTAAGCACTGAAAGTGCGAACTCCCATTCCATACACCTCTCGCCAGCACTGATCAGGGCGTTGCAGCTGATGACGTCGGGCTCCAGCATGACTTCCAACAACTCGCTGAACATTGACAACGCCTGATACCACGGCCCGCTTTTCCCGCATGCGCTGATTACAGCGTTGTAGCAGATAATGTCTGGTTTGACCCTCCATGTCCACATGCTGCCGAGCAACGCCAAAGCTTGCTGCCACTGTCCGCTTTGTTCGAACGTGCCGATTGCAGAAGTACAAACGCGGGCATCTGGCTCCAGCTTCGAGTTGCACAACTTGCTGAGCAATGCCATCGCTCGCTCCCATAGCTAGAACAAGAAAAAACTGCATAAACATAAACTTGAGGCGCTCCGTGCGGATTTCTTGGATCTGCGCTGGCCCCCCCTCCCTGGCACGCGGAGCGCGCCAGGGGCAGCGCCAGAGGCGCTGCCGGGGGGCCCAGCGCGGAGCCAAGAAATCCGCGCGGAGCACATAAGTTTATAGTTTTGCCGTTTTTTTATTCTTCGAATAGCCCGCCGCTTCTGCACGCGCTGATGGAAGTAGCGAAACTGAGCACATCCAGCTGTATCGTGGCCTCCTCCATGCCACGAAGCAGCACCAGCACCTGCCGCCACTGACCCCCTCTCTCGCACGCGCGCAGTCCAGCGTTATAGCTAACGGGGACTCCGGCACGCCTTACATTACACTACGTTATGTTACTAGAAGAAAAGGCTGCATTAATATAAACTTTTGGCGCTCCGCGCGGATTTCTTGGATCTGCGCTGGACCCCCTCGCTGGCGCGCGGAGCGCGCCAAGGGCGGCGCCGGAGGCGCCGCTGGGGGAGCCCAGCGCAGATCCAAGAAATCCGCGCGGGGCGCCAACAGTTTATGTTTATGGCGTTTTTTCGAATTACAGTACGCTACGTTACACTGAGCTGACCAGGGCTGCCAGGTTGGACCAAATGGTGGGGAAAGGGTCCAAGCTCACGCACATCATTCATCCATCGCGACTGGTCTGCACCAAAAGTGGCAGCAGGGGTAGGTGAAAGGTACCTGGATTCGATTCGTGTGGCCAAGCGCGTTCTCCTGAGAATTCTCGAACAACAGCGCGCACTTGACCATCGCGAATCACCGTCAACTACTGTAGTAGCCCGACCATCAGAAACGTTCCGCACGAAACCCATCCCTGAGACCCCAGGACGTCCATCGACTCCTGGTGTGGGAACGCCACGCCTTCCACAGCAAAACCATCGAAACCCAAGAAACCCAGGGCACTCTGGAGGCAAGCAGGGTGTTTCTTGGCATGGGCCTCCACTGTAGTGTGGGCCTCGTGCACGGGCAGGCATCGGCGCAGTGCACCAGGCCGAGACCGAGGTTGTCAGCTCAGGGCGCAGAACCAGGAGAGCGCACGAGTTGAAGAGGACGACCGAACCCTTGGCGGCGAGCGAGGGGGGGGAAGTGAAAAGGAGAAGGCCTTCTCAGAAGGTGGCGGGACTTCTCAGAAGCCTTCTGGCCTTCTGAGAAGTGTTCTGTCTTCGGGGAAGGCTTCGAAAACCTCTCAGAAGGCTAGGGGGCTTCCGAGCCTTCTAAGAAGGCCCGTCCCTTCTCACTGCCCCCCTCGCTCGCCGCAGAGCTAATTTTGGGTTAGACGATGATCATCATCGCCACACCATCTCTCCTGAGAATGCCCAGGCGCGCTGACCGATCAAACGAAAACACCACTCATGCCGAACAGCTTCTGGCGGTGTGCAGAGGAAGCCCGCCGTAGGGAACATGATAGCATGCTGATGTTTGGCTTCACCCTCGACCCCTCCGCCTCGCGGAGAAGCTCCAACACCAATCTCCATTGCCTGCCTCGTCCGCAAGCGTTGATCCCGACACTGTAGCTGAACGCATCCCGCTCCACAGCCGTACCCTCCATGCCGCACAGCAGCTCGAGCGCATGCCGCCACTCCTCCCTGCACGCGCTGGCCGCGGCGTTGCAGGCGAAGGTTGTGGGCTTCATCTTCGCTTCCGACAGCGCACCGAGAGACGACAGCGCCTGCTGCCACTGCCCGCTCTTCTGGCAGGCGCCGATGGCAAGATCATAGCTGACGATAGTTGGACGCACCTTCGCCGCCCTGACCTCGGAGAGCCGCAGCAGCGCCTGCGCCCACCGCCCGCCGCCGGCGCAGGCGCGGACCTGGGCGTTGCCGGTGACGATGTCCGGCCCTGCCTCCCAGGCCGCCCCGAGCAGTGCCGACGCCCGCTGCCACTGCCCGCCCTTCTCGCACGCGCTGCCCGCAGCAAGCACACCGCCCGCGCTCGGCCTCAGACCTGTCGGCCGGCGACGACCGAACCCCGCCCCCGCCGACCATCGGCTCTCCGGGGTCCATGGGGGGGGCCGGGGCACGGCCCGGACTTCGCCGCGTGCTCCGACGAAGTCCGAGCCCTGCCCCCGCCGCCCCTCGGCTTGCCCGAGGCCTCGGCCGGCGAGGGGCAGGGCTTGGACTTTTCCCGCCCAGCCTGCTTCCCCTGCCCTCCGGAGCAGCGCCAGGGCGCGCGCCCACTGCCTGCTCTTCCCGCAGGCGCGAACGGCGGCGTCGCCGAAGCTGGCGTCGGTCTGCAGGCTCGACCGCCGCGCGTCTCGGAGCCCTGCCTGTGCCGCGCTCTGCCGCGCCGTCCTGCGGCGCCGCGAGCCAGAGGGCGCGGCGCCACCCGAAGAGGCCCGCTGCTCTCGGGGAGCAGAGCGAGGGCGTGAGCATCAGAAGCTTCTGGGGACTCGATTCGTCATGTCCCGAACCGGGCTGGGTGGACTGGCTAGCAGCTAGCAGTGTACACGTTTGCCCCACCTCGCCTCGTCGCCTCGACTGCGCACACGGCTTTATCGCCAGTGCGCGCGGTGCCGAGTGGTGTCGCTCGTGTTCGCCAGGTGTTCATGCTGAACTGCTGCGTGGATTGAGCTCTTTGACGCAGGGTCGTAGGGTCGTCAGTAAACGTAGACTTTCGGGGATCCGCGCTGATCTCTTGGATCGGCGCTGGACCCCGCATGGCAGCGCCTCCGGCGCAGCCCCTGGCGCGGTCCGCGTGCTGGGGAGGGGGGCCTGGCGCCGATCCAAGACATCAGCGCGGGCCTCCGAACGTCCATGGTCATGCCCTACTTGTCTCGCGTACATACAACACGGGGGCCACTACAGCATCGCGAATATAATGGTCATGCCGTCATCTGCTCCCCGATGCTCCCTGCCGCCTCTGGGCATCCCCGCCGCGGGCCAGCCTCGGACTGGGTCGCCGTGGCAGGCGGCGCATGTGTCCAGCTCGGGCCGCCTCCTGGGGCGAGACTCCAGGGCGAGCCTGATGCCGAGCGGCCCGAGCGAACGGCGAAGGGAAGAGGAGGCGCCGGGGCAGGGGGGCTCCTCCTCCTCCTCCTCCTCCTCCTCTCCTCTCCTCCTCCTCCTCCTCCTCCTTCCTCCTCTCCTCCTCCTCCTACCTCCTCCTCCTCCTCCTCCTCCTCCTCCTCCTCCTCCTCCTCCTCGCGAAGATTTTTAAGGGGGGGGGCTCAGGTCCATCCCGCTCCTCGTGGCGCGCCGGGCCGGCGGAGGTCCGGGAGCTCGAGCGGGAGGTCGACCACAGAGCTGATTCGCAAGCAACTGGGACGTTCGTGGAACCTGCGACAAGCACAAGTCGCTTATTTTTGTCGTGGGGGGTAGGAGGGGGGCAAGTCCATCCCGCTCCTCCTGCTACACCTGCGCCCACTGCTCCCCCTCTGGTGCTGCTCCTCCCCCCCCCCTTCCTCCTGCTCGTGCTGATCCTCTGACTGCTCCTGCTTCTCGCGCGCCTCCATAGAGAGCGGAAGGTCCACGCTCCTTGATGAGCATCCCGGCAAGCGAAGCCGTTTACGAAACGCACCCAGGGAAGCAATCGAACAGGGCAGGGCTGTTTAGTAAACGCCCAGGGCAGGTTATTAAACGCCAGTTATCGGGGTCGGGGTGGTTATTACTCCCTTGATTCCACTCGCTGGGAAGAGAGGGGGAGAGGGAGGGGGAACGGGGAGGGGGGGCAAGGGAGAGGAGAGGATGAGGGGAGGATGATGCGAATCCGTAGTGGAGCAGGCGGAGGAGGGAACGGGGAGGAAAGAAGTTTCCGCCTTGGTAGCAAATCCAGAGTAAGATTCTACTCGATCCACCACGTGCGCATTGCAGAGCTAATGCTTCCTTTCAGCGTAGACGTCTTGACGTCGGCGCTGCACGCTGCGTAACGTGAGGGGGACGCGGATCGCATCGCGCGAAGAAGCGACATGCAGATCCCGCCAAGGTGTCGCACAGCTCGTCGGGAAAACTCGCGCTCCAGCATGCGTGCGACGCGTGCCTTTGCCCGCCAAGCCCAGCGACATCGCGCCCCGCGCGGGGAAGCCACACACGTGGCTCTCGCTCCGGCGCCTCGCCACCGCCCACTGAGAGCTGCGCCACTATTTGAGAGCGCTCGCGTTCGTTTGCCCGCCAGGCCCCCCGGAAGTGGGAGGCCGTGCGGCCAGTGGCACGCCGTCTTCCTGCACCGGCGCAGAGGTGCAAGCTGCGCTCACTTCGCGCGAGAACGCACACGCTGAAGCAGGAGCGCTGCTGCGGCGCACGAGCACACCAGCGTGCAGGATTTCGCACGTGGTGAGCTCCGCGTTCGCCTTGCAGTTGCGTGAGCCCGCAGTCCAAGACGCCGGGTGCTGCCGGCACCCCCACCATGCCGTCCGGATCCCCTGGCGGTGAAAACCATGATGAATGCCACCAGCCCTCTGGGCCCGGGTGTGTTGGGGGGGCCCTCTCTACACGTCGTTAATTTCTGATCGTGCTCATTTCAAAGTCTGCTCGCTTCAAATTGTTCCTGGCCCCCTAGTGGCCAGGAAGAGGCCCAGGATAGAAACAGTAGAAGTGAAAGGATCTTGGCCCCCAAAAAAATTAAATAACTTTCGAAGAACTAGAAATGATCAATGTGTACTTTAAGCCCGCCTCTTCCCTGTCGGGGAGGGGCGTGCGTGCCCCTCCCCCTGGCCCACGCCGCAACGCTACCCCCCCCTCGCCTCCTCCCCTCCAGCTCCCCGAGACTGGCAGGGGGCGAGCGGGTCCCGACACGCAACGCGCAACCCGTAGCGCGTTGACACGGAGCGCCCCAGTGAGGCTGAAATTGTGCGTTTGGCGCGACGCGCTCGCCCAAACCTTGGGCCAACATGTGGAGCCAACGCGCAGCGTACCAAGACGGACGTTTTGAGCACGGTACGCGTTGCGTCTCACAACGGGCGTATCAGGGCAGGTCCCGAGGGAAACGGGTCCTGGATCTGAGGCCTTCTTCCCCGGGGCCAGGTTTTCATCCTGGGCAGTTTCTGCTGACAACCCGGGGGCCCGTGGAGGCGCGGGCGTGCCCAACTGGACGAAAACAACCGAGACTTGTGTCTCTCAGAATCCCCGGACGAGGAGGAGGAGGAGGAGGAGGAGGAGGAGGAGGAGGAGGAGGAGGAGGAGGAGCGCAGCGCCTCGCGCGAGTCTCCCGAGCGGCCGCGGGGGCGGCCGACGAGCGACAGCGCGGCGCCCTCACGCCGCGATGGCGGAGAGGGCAAGGCCGAAGACAGTGTGGAACAAGACCCACTCGCAGAGGAAGAGGGCCAGGGGCGCGTCGACGTAGGCCAACACGCCGCCGACGAAACAGGCGCCGCCGCCGAAGAAGACGCCGTGCCACCAGCTGGCCACGGAACGGCAGCGAATCACGACATGGTCGATCATCGCGCCGCGTGGCTGCGAGAGGGGCCACCCTGCGGGAGCAGTGCCACTGGGGTGCGGCGGGCACGAGGCGCCAGTCCCTTCTCGACTCGCCTGATCGCATTTTGCTGGTTGCGGCGCGTGGACTCGTTGGGCGAGAGCCCTTCGCACCTCAAGCCAAACTTTCTCACTGTGCGGACATCACCCGCACCACAGTGGGAACCGCAGCGTCTGCAACAATAGACATAGTTGCCCCTGAACACGTCGTGCCCAAGCGCGGTGAAGGCGCCACCTACCTCTTCGGCCAGGGCAGGTGGCACCAGGGCCGCGGGAGCCGAGGGCTGCGAGCTCCCTTCGAGCGCCAAGGCCGCGCCCATGGCTGTGGTCGCTGCAGAGGATGCAGCCCTCGCCGAAGGTGCGGAAGTACTCGGCGCTGAGAGCACTGGCAACACGCGAAGGCCGACTAACACGATGATGATGATGAGGAGGAGGAGGAGGAAGCGGAGGAGGAGGAGGAGGAGGAGGGAGGAAGGGGGGGGAGGGGGAGGAGGAGTGAGGAGGCGGAGGAGGAGGAGGAAGGAGGAGGAATGAGGAGGAGGAGGAGTCGGGGGAGGAGGAGGAGGAGGAGGAGGAGGAGGAGGATGAGAGAAAGCGGAGGAGGAGGAGGGAGGAGGAGGAGTGCGGCGGAGGAGGAGGAGGAGGAGGAGGAGGAGGCGAGGAGGGAAGCGGAGGAGGAGGAGGAGGAGGAGGGAAGGAGGAGGAGGGGGAGAAGGAGAGGCCGGGGGATTGTGGAGTACCTGTGGGTTTCAGACGATTTTTTACGATATTGCACGTTGCTCCTCATCATTATTCTGATATTTCCTCTCTCGCTTTCTCTCTCTCTCTCAATCTCTCCCACTCCCATTCCCATTCCCATTCCCATTTCCAATACCATTACCATTACCATTCCCATCTCCATTCCCATTCACATTACCATTACCAGTACCATTACCTTTACCTTTATCTTTACCTTTACCTTTACCTGTACCATTACCATTACCATTACCATGGCCATTACAATTGCCATTGTCATTGCCGTTGTCATTCCCATTGTCATTGCCATTGTCATTACCAGTGCCGTTGCCATTGCCATTGCATTGCCATTGCCAGTCGCCACCCCGTTACCATTACCATTACCATTACTAGTACCATTACCATTAACATTACCATTACCACTGTCATTACCATTGCCATTGCCATTGCCATTCCCATTACCATTGCCATTACCAGTAGCATTACCAGCACCATTGCCATTGCCATTGCCATTGCCATTGCCATTGCCATTGCCATTGCCAGTGCCATTACCATTACCGCTGCCATTACCATTACAATTCCCATTCCCATCACCATTGCCATTACCATTACCGTTACCTGTACCATTTCCATTACCATTACCATTGCCATCATGATTACCACTACCACTCCCATTTCCATTCCCGTTCCAATTACCACTACAATTCCCATTCCCATTCCCATCCCCATTACCATTTACCATTACCATTACCATGACCATGACCATGACCATGACCATTACCATTACCATTGCCATGGCCATTGCCATTGCCATTGCCATTGCTGTTGCCATTCCCATTGCCATTGCCATTGCCATTACCATTACCGTTGCCATCGCCATTGTCATTACCATTGCCAATCGCTACCCCGTTACCGTTGCCATAACCATTACCATTACCGTTATCGTCACCATTACCATTCCCAGTACCATTACCATTGGCATTGCCATTACCATTACCATTGCCATTGCCATTGCCATTCGCCACTACCATTACCATTGCCATTCGCCACTACCATTACCAATACCATTACCGCTGCCATCGCCATTGTCATTGCCATTGCCAATCGCTACCCCGTTACCGTTGCCATAACCATTACCATTACCGTTACCGTCACCATTACCATTCCCAGTACCATTACCATTGGCATTGCCATTACCAT